AGTACAGTGGCGTGACCTCGGCTCACTGCAAGCTTCGCCTCCTGGGTTCACGCCATTCTCCTGCCTCAGCCTCCTGAGTAGCTGGGACTACAGGCGCCCAGTACCGCGCCCGGCTAATTTTTTGTATTTTTAGTAGAGATGGGGTTTCACTGTGGTCTCTATCTCCTGACCTTGTGATCCGCCCGCCTCGGCCTCCCAAAGTACTGGGATTACAGGCGTGAACCACCGCGCCCGGCCAATCCACCCACCTTGACCTCTCAAAGTGCTGGGATTACAGACATGAGACATTGTGCCTGGCCTGACATGCTTTTAAGCCCAGCATTTCCCAAACTTGTTTGCCCATGGAGCCCTTTCCCACTCCCTGGGAAGCACTGGGTTTGGAACCTGTTCTTCCTTCTCAAGCTCTTAGTCACCTAGAGCTGCGGGAAAAGGCAGGGGTGGGACAGAACCTGGACCCCCAGTCCATAGACTCAGTTCCTTTGACAGGTACACCCAGAAAGAATGGATATCTTCGCTGAAGACTTCAAAATACAGAACCGGAAGATGATCGCACTGCAGCGGGAAGTGGTGAGGCCCACTCCTCCCGTGTCCTGGGTGCTGAGGGTAGGGAGGGTCAAGAAGGAGAACGCAGCCTGGAAAGGTTTCTTTGCAGGTGTGGGGGGCACTGCCCCCTCCAGGCTCACACCCTTCATTTTCTACCCCTACCCTGCAGGCTTCTCTCCAGAATAAGTTTCAAACCATCCCCAAAACCGAGGACATGGTGCTCTGGAGTGGCCTCCATGAGGCCATGTTCGCTTCGGTGAGTGAGGAAGGAAGGGGAGGTTAGCAGGAAGCTGAGGAGCGGGCGGGCGGCTGAGAGTGGGAGGTGGGGATGGAAGCCAGCCGAGCCCCTCGGCCCCCTCTTCTGCAGGAAATTGGTTCATCACAGCTGGACCTGTGGCAGTCCATGGATCAGCTCCCAGAGGCTGCCCTGGCCCAGACCACCGAGTACCTTGAAGCTACTCGTGCCATCCAGGTCTCCGAGCCTGTCCAAAACCCCCAGCTGCTGCAGACTGTCTGGCATTACGAGGTCCCAGAGCTCCTCCCGGAGGACTCATCATCTGCCCAAGCATTTTCTCTCAGCAGTGCCCAGGAGCCAGCGCAGCCTCCGGCCCTCACACCTGAGTCCGCACCTGGGCGCACAACTGCATTTGCACCTGGGCCTGCACCTGGGACTGAACCTGTGCCAGGGCCAGAGCTGGGGCTGGAGCTGGAGCCTGTGCCTGCCCTGGGGCCCGTCCCAGGGCCCACTGTGACACCTGGGTCCTTGCCAGCACCTTGGCCTATGCTTGGACCTGCGCCTGCCCCAGGTGCCCAGCCTCCACCACCAGGAGGCTGGCCTGCATTCCCAAGACGCTGGCCTCTTCCCCAAGGCTGGCCCAGGATGGGCTCTTGGCCTTTGTGGGACTTAGGTGTCCTGCGGCCAACTCAGCCTCAACCCTCCAGGGCCCCACCACCAGCCACCGAGTTTGCCTCAGCGTGGCCTCAACCACTCCAGCCATATCAGTCTCGCCAGGGAGAAGACCTCCAACTCACAGCTATTCAAGAAAAGGGGGAGGAAAATGATGTCCCCAGCCTGAGGGGCCTCCAGGAGAGGGCCCGCAAGGATGGGGCCCCCAAGGATAGAACTCGCAAGGATGGGGTTCCCAAAGATAGAGGCGGCAAGGATGTGGACCCCAAGGATAGAGGTGGCAAGGATGGAGCCCCCAAGGATAGAGGTGGCAAGGATGGGGCCCCCAAGGATAGAGGTGGCAAGGATGGGGCCCCCAAGGATAGAGCTCACAAGGATGAGGTACCCAAAGATAGAAGTGGCAAGGACGGGGCCCCCAAGGATAGAGTTGGCAAGGAGGGGGACCCCAAGGAAGCACAGCTTAAGGCTCCCCGGTCTGCCTTTCACCGGCTGAAAACCACTGCTGCCATTGCCGCTGCCGCTGCCGCAGCCTATGCAGCCGCCGCATCCTCCGCTGCGCAGACAGCCAAGGTTGCTGCCAAGTTGGTCAAGGACTCCCCAGCCACCAAAATGGCCACCATTGCAACAGACACGGCTGCAGCTGGGCCCCTAGGGGTCTTTGCAGATGTCCTGGGTGCAGGGCCTTCCCGGGGAGCCACAGAATCCCAGGCCTTGGGCGATGATTCCGAAATCTACTACGAAATCCTCTCTCCCTCCTACTCTGCTGCCAGCATCAGTCCCGATACAGCCCTGTCCCAGGCCATGGTGGCTGCCAAGCAGGCCACAAGCCCTGAAGACAAGAAGAGGGCTGTCAGGTATTCCATGAGCCACATGGCCCAGATACCTGTCAAACACGACTCCCTGAAAGAAGAGTTTGCCCAGCTGTCCTTCAACCTGAACCAGCGCTTGAGTTATCTAGGTAGGCCTGGTCTGGCCCTGGGAAGGGCACAAGGGAGTGGGGCTCTCCCTGCAGCCTTTGAGAAGTACCTCCTGTCCTTCATCGGACTCCACCAACAAAATCTACATTCCACCATTAGCCATTCATTCCTTTGCCTTAAGCATTTGGCTCTTATGAGTCTATTCTTTTCTCTTGAATGTACAGTGAGGTCTTATCGTAGGGCAAGGAGGCTGTTAGGGTCTAAAGTTGGCAGTTGAGGAAAATGGCATGCCAAAATTAGTCTCCAAAACTCTTGTGGCCAGGCGTGGTGGCTCATGCCTGTAATCCCAGCACTTTGGGAGGCTGAGGTGGGCGGATCACAAAGTCAGGAGTTCAAGATGAGCCTGACCAACATGGAGAAACCCCGTCTCTACTAAAAATACAAAATTTCCCGGGCATGGTGGCACATGCCTTTAACCCCAGCTACTCGGGAGGCTGAGGCAGGAGAATCACTTGAACCTGGGAGGCAGAGGTTGCAGTGAGCCAAGATCGTGCCACTGCACTCCAGCCTGGGTGACAG